AAGGAAATTCAAACAAAGAAGGAAGAGGTAACAACACATCGGTTATGTGTTGTTACCTCTGCGGACAATTACGAAATTTCTCACAGTTTAATTATACTGGGTCTCTATACCGTTATATCGGGGCACAGTAGTCCACTGTTCTGCAGAAATTGGTAATACAGTAGAACTTACCCAGACGGACTCTTAGAAAAGGGGCGGGGGGGTTGTCTATAGACGTCCGGTACTTTATTTTAATTATGTTTTCAGTTTACAAGGCTTGTCAGGGTTAAGATTGAACCTTTTACACTGATTTTGGATGTCGGAAATGCGTTTTAGATTAATTACGATAAAAATAAATTTCACTAAAAATTGCGTATAACGAAACGTAAAAATGTCAATTTGGTCTATTATGACACTTCATTCTAATTCTGTTTTCAATTTAGGTTTGACAGGGTTAAACTTGAACCTTATACACTGTTTTTCAATTTTGGAAGTGCTTTTTGAATTAATTACAACAAAAATAAATTTCACTAAAAATTGCATATAAAGAAACGCAGATATATCAATTTGTTTTTTTTAACACGGATACACCAGGCAATCCATTTGTGGCTGAAGATAGGACTCTTACATAATGATTGAGTCGCAGTGAAGAGCAATCAAGAGGTTCTTCAGTAAACAAAATTATGACAATTCACATTACATTGTTTGATTTACCACTATCATACCAGAGTTTAGGGCAACCTGACTTTATAGATAAGATAGCTCGAATCTGTACTAAAACTGAATCAGCACGCCCCGACTCCTCGAAGTATTATCTGCCCTGCCCCCAGTGTGTTTTTGTAAAGCCGTAGGCGCGGAGAGAGAGAGCAGACCCAGTCCGCTGTGGCAAATAGCAGGCATCTGTGCGAGCAGTAACGGATGAAGCTGGTCGCCGAAGGCGATCAATAAGCCAAAGCTGCTGAGGTGATTACTGCGATTTGTTACGCAAGGGCGAAGTGGCGCCACTTCCCGCAGCACTGAAGCCGTTGCAGAAGTAATTTTGGGTCAATATTTCTGTGTAAAAAAGTGAGGTTATGATTTTACAAAAAAAACATTACCCATAAACTACACATTTCAGCAAGGACCCTTGAGCTCCCACTGTGTAAGCTAGTAACGGATATCTATAGTTTTACCAAAAGGGCTCCTGTCACCTAGTTGGAATTATGATAATCTCCTTACACACGCACTAGTAGACGCGTTCTAACCTGACACCTGTACAAAGCAATAAAAGCATTCCAACCTAGTCGTGCTTGATGAAATTTTTTCATAATTTACCCGCACATCCAGCAGTAGTGATACCTATCTACATAAACATCTGAATGTTTATGATAACTTGTAATTATTGAAATAATATGGTAATTGGTAGTTGTTATTACTACATTACAAGCCATCGTCCTTAATATTAGCATATATTTCGTTTTATCTAAACATAACTAACAAAGGAGTTTCCATTCAATTACCAATGTTGTTTTAACAATGCTTAAACCCACAAAATATTATCATTACTTTATTGTGTTTGCAATGTAACAGCCAGACGCAATTTGTGAATTGTTTATTTTGACTGGAAGATACATTATTTTGCTCCTGGATAAAAATATTTAAATAAAAAACCATCAGATTTATGAATACATTTAATTTGTTTTTGTTTTTTTTTTTATAGGATAAGGGTAACAATCGAGCATACAGTCCACCAGTAAGTGGTTGCTGTGGCCCATAGACATTTACATCTATCTTCGATTACGAACCAAAATGCAGATGCGTTGTCACCCGTGAGGACTAATGTGGATTCCCACGTTTCCAGTAAAAAGGGTCTCCGGTTCTCTACACTCACCATACGAAACACAGCACCGTTAAGCTGCTATTTTACGCTGATATTCTGTGAGAGCGTGTTCCTTCCCCGGTCGAGCCGACCCATTCGTGCTACAACCATAATATAGCTGCAGCACGGCTCTACCGCGTATAATGTTTGCTAAATACCTTATCCCGAAGGTAGTATTTTTTAAAGTGTATTAATATGAAAATTTCGTACGTTTTTAGGAAGCTTTCAAGTTTGAAGCCAGTTCAGATGAAGCAAAAACAAATGTTTAATATTTTTTCATCATACGAAAGACAGCACCATTATGCTGGTATTATGAGAAGCTATAATTCTGCTGCGGTCTAGCTAACTCATTATGCTATAGTCATAACAGAGAAATATCGCTCTAAGACCTTAAGTTATTATAATATAAAAAAGAAAAACTGTATAATAGAGCATGTACGACGAGATGTCAACTGTAAGATTTTAATTTAAAGTTCTATCCAAGGTTGTTATATAAGAATATAATGCTCTTTTACAACTCTATAAATTTAAAGTAGGTTTGTAAGTTAAACTTGTTACTTGTTAAGCAAAATGTAAAACTTACTAGAAAATACAGCATTAATAATTATCATCAACCCGTAAACAGTTCATTAAAGACGTTGGCCGCTCCTATTTTAGCGGTTTGTCATAATCGTAAAATAGCAGCTTACCAGCTTATATTACCAGTTTATACCAGCGTAAAATAGCAGCTTAACACTGCTGTATTTCGTATGGTGAGTGTAGACAATCGGAGAAACTTTTTATTGGAAAAGAGGCATTCCATCTTAATCCTCACGGGTGACAACGCATCTGTATTTTGATTCGCAAACGAAGATAGATGTAGATGTCTATGGGCCACAGCAACCATGTACCCTCAGGTGAAATGTGTGCTCGTTTGTCACCCTATACTTTTTAAAAAAAAGGGGGCCACGCTTGGCAGGTGGATTGGCGATTGCGTCACCACACCTTTGTTCTTTTCTTATTTATTATGAATTATTGGATATTTTAAATAGAGTTTCATTTTTGTAAGGGACCATTGTGAATTATAATAATTATTATTATTATAATTCACCGTGTGGTGGCGGCGTCAGAGAATCCATCGTCTTTGTTTATCACGTAGGTGTCCTAAAAGGCGACTTTGCAAAAATTCATAAAGATCTCTTGCTCATAGATTATTTATTTATTTTTTACTTACCATACAAGCCCGTTACCGTTATGCTATAGATATAATTACCGATACAGTTTATCAAAAGTGCACTGCTGAACAGCCTCCTCATAGGGCGCATATTTACCATAGAATTCACGCTTGGCAAATGGGTTGGCAACCGCAGTCTTTTATATTTAGTTTTATTAGAAAGACGCTGCTACCCACGCTCTGGTTTGTCGCCTCTTACGACTCAAACGGAACGATATTCTTACTCCACTACACACTATACTTGTAAATTTATTTAAGTGATTACCACGTTAAATAGTCATATAGGACAAAATTACCCAACTTTGATCGTCATCCGTCTGTCTCTATTAAAAGTTATATTTTATAGTATGCTAATTATAAAGTCATGAAAAAGGTCATTATAACTATCATAATATTATTATAGGTAATTGTTTATATATTTATCTTCGTATAATATATAAAAGTTAGTGCATATGTTAGTGAACAAATGAGATCATATTCACACAATATATTTTTTGTTATAGTGATGGTTCATAACTATGCTGGGATACAATAGATAGGCGGTGTTGTAGTCAAATTATGAAAAATGCTATTTATATCGTCCAAAATGACTCAAATTCACGATATACATTGCTTTAGTGCCAAATAAAATAATATAACAAAGTCTGAATCCGAGAAGTGGCGATGTGGTCTAATTATTAGATATTAAATTAATTATTTAGTCTATAAAAAAATTAAGGAGTTAGTTTGGGGCTGATAATTTTTTATTCCATTGAAGCGAAATGTCGTGCCTAAATCGAAAAGTATATATTAATATGAAATAGATGTTTTTCATTATTTTAACATTTTTTTAATCTCAACCAAGTCATTTAACTGTAATTAATAAATAAAACTCATCGTGACACTTACCGGAAATGTCAGAACAAAGTGTGCCCGACCAGCGAACTAAGGAATATAATGTATGAGATTGCCACAACCATTGCTCTTGCAGAGCTTAATTTATAATTGTGGCACATCTTAAACATGTGATTGTTTAATTTCGAGAAGAAATGGGTAAATCTCAAAACAAAGTAACAAATGCACATAAACATTTCTTAAAAATATATTTTATTTCTAGTTTACATTTATTTATTTTTAACCACTTTTAACTTATAGTTAAGGCAATCTTGTAGTACGGTGTGTAGATATGAAAACGTTACCTCACTTCTCGCTACTGTCGAGCAAAAATCACTAAGCACTATACATTTTAACAAATAACGTACAGCCATTCTCGAAAAGGCACTGCAGCGCTTGAACTATTCAATTTGTAAATTTTTTAAAATGATAAAAAATTAAAACTACTTTACAAAATTTATTCTCATCATGACCTTAAAAAATAAGCCCTTTCATTTGATATAATTATAATAATATTTATGATCCATTCTAACGAGACTGTTAATATAATTCGTGTTTTCGCGCAATAGTGAAAACATAATATTATACATTAGAATATTGTGTTATTTTTCTTTTGTGCAATAGTTACATTACAGAATATTTACAGAGGTTTAAAAAAGGTTAAGAAGTACTACAACGTTGCCTTAAAAGTATTTTCTTTAGATATTTATATTTCTATTTGAAACCCCCGCCAAATTTCAGCGATTTCTTTTCTTACCATTTTACTTATAGTAAATTTAATGGCCATTGTTTATTAATCCGTCATTGGTGACTAGACCTAAGCGATCTTGCCTTAATACTTCTTATATTACACAAAATCAAACAATTGATAATATCAAATTAAAATATTATAAATAAGATATATATTCGTGACAATATTGTCTTAGTTAATAGTTAATAAATATTTAAGCACAAATTACAGGCAGTAATAAGTAATTATACACAATATGTACACATAGGTACTAATTGCTTTTCAATACCTTAAAAACAGTTATCTTTATTAATCAGCAACAATCATTCTTAAAATATTAATAAGTACTATCGATAAATTTTATCATCGTGTGGTGGCATACTTATAAAATACGGTGCAGGTGGAGGTGGTGCTAAATAACGTACAGACCCAGGGCCTGAGTGCACCTTATGAGGCAAAGTTGCTGTCGAAAGCGAAGCTGGCGGTAATGTTGCTGCATAACCTGGCCAAGCCGGGCCCCACAAAGGAGCTGCACCTGCACTTGCACTATTTGCTAATGGACCACCCCTGTACGACGTTGTAGTCATTCTTAACCTTACGATGCATATTGCAACAATAAGAATTACTATAAATGCAACTACTCCTCCAACAATCCCTATAATAAGATTGTCGTCGTTAGAAGAAGAAGCTATTACAGGAGCTCCTTTTGGTTCACCTGGCAATTTTGTTCGTTCATGTGATGGGGCTACTGACCAAATTATATCGGGTTCCACTGAAGTTCTGTGAACAAGACGTGGTGAACTTGTAGTTGTTAATCTGCTTGAAGAAGATGTTATAGTAGTTCTTTTTCTCGTATCACATGACAGTTCATCATCACCAATTTCAACTAATAAATATCCAGCCAAATGATCAGGAGAGTGACATTGTACATCTTCTATTCCTACGTTTGGTAACCATCTACGCAACGCTCTTGCATTACAGTCACAACGAATAGGATTTGTATCTAAACCAAACATGGAAAGATCTGCTCTACGGTCATCAAGTGCTACCAATAACTGTGGTTGTAACGTTGTTAACTGACTACCAGCCACATCTATGGTTATTTGCGATGATCTTGGCAACGGAAATAGTAGGGCCGGTGGCAGACTTGAAACTGATGTATTTCTAAATCTTACTATCATAAATGGAGACTTCAAACCAGCTAATACCCCGGAAGAAATTGTTTTTAATCTGTCTCCACGTATCCCTAACTCTTCAAGTCGTGGATGTAATGCAGATGCAAGCTGATCTGCCCCAATATTTGTATCTTTTACTTCAACGTCCAATTTTTCCAAAGCAAATAAGTGTTGTAATGTACCTTGCACGTCAAAATATCCTAATCGTGGGTAGCCATACGCTCGAAGCTCAATAAGATTAGGTAAAGACCTAAAAGTATTCTTTTCTATTTTTGTGCATTTATCTAGATACCTCATGTCCAAAATTCGTAATGACGAGAGTCCTTCAAAATTACCATCAACAATCATCTTTATAGGATTATTAGAAATGTTAAGTCTTTGTAAGTTTTTAAGATTCGGCCAAGAAACTGCTAGTGATTTAGAAACATCTTCTATTTGATTGAAGGATAAATCTAAAGATTCCAATAAAGTAGTTCTGACAAAAGTTTTTTCAGTTAATTTAGTTATATTGTTAAATGATAAATTCAATCTGTGCAAAAATGGAGTTTCTAGCTGTCCAACAAATTTTATTCCAGTGGCCGCAAGATTTAAATCCCTAACAGTTTTTGGTTCCGTTAAAACATTATTTATTGTTTTTTCAGAAAGTGGATTAAATGATAAATCTAACTTCTTGATATTCACCATAACACTATCTTCTGCTTGTATATCTACAATTTCGTTATGAGAAAGATCAACGGACGATACAAAGAAATATTGCTTTTGCAATGCCTTCAGAGGAGGATGTTCAAATAAGTTATTACTCAAAATTATCGTTTCTAGCATATGCAAACGTGATCTATCAAATATATTTTCAGGCAGCTCGTTCATCAGATTACCACTCAAATCTAATTTTTCTAATCTTATTAATCCTTCGAATAGTCTATCTCCTAGACGATCAATTTTATTGAAAGATAAATCCAAATGTTGTATTTGAGTTGAATTATGGAAAGCCATTTCACTCACACTTTCGATTTCATTTCGAGCTAACAAAACTGTTCTTAATTTTGGTAGACGAGCAAAATCCAATTCATCAACATTTTTTAAAGCATTGCCTGATAAGTCTACCAATTCCAAATATTGCAGCGTACTAATTAGTTCCGATGGGAAGAAATTAAACTTATTATTTTTCAATATAATTTCCCTTAATCGCGGATGTATTTTAAATGAAGAAGGAAATAAATAACTTAATTGATTATCAGAAATATCTATCACTTCTAAGCTTGTACCCGTATTAAAGAATTCACCTTTAAATGCATTTAATTGATTACCTCTTAATGACAAATACTGAATAGACATTACGTTAACAAAGGCCGGTGTTTTAATGCTTACTATATGATTATATGATAAGTCAAGTACCGTGAGATTTCTAAGATTCTTGAAAGTGTTTTCTGATACCTCTTGTAAAAGGTTATTGGATATATAAATTCGTTCTAAACTAGGATTTTTAAAAAATAAATTTACCGGTAAAGCTTTTAAGCCAACATAACTTATATCAACAACTTTTAGAGCTTGATTTTGCCCAAAAACGTTTTGGGGCAAAACACTAATATGGGAATTATGACTCATATTTAAATGAACAAGGCTCGGAATCGATTGAAAAGCGTTTACAGGTATTTCAGATATTTGATTATCAGAAATATCTAAATACCAAAGATTAACAAATTTTAATTCTTCTCCCGTAAATCCTAAAATTTTATTTTGATTTAAGGACAAAAATTCTAATGTCATTTCTAAACCACCGAAAACCTCCGCTGATATTGAATTTAAGAGATTTCCAGACAAATCTAAGCGACGCAACGTCTTAAAATGCTCAAAAGCGGATGGCGGGAGCTCTCTAATAACATTCCGAGATAGAACCAAACTATCGATTCGATCGGAAACTGCCCTTAAGATATCACTTGAGAGAGCCGTTACTCGATTAAAGCCTAAATGTACTGAAACCAAATTAGGTAGGCGTGACAATGCCGTAGCAGGTATGAGAAGTATATTGTTATCGCGTAGAAGTAGCGTCTGTAAGCCTGTTAAACCATCAAAGGCATCATCTTCAACCTGCAAAAGATAAAATAATAGTTAAACCTGATGTAAGGAATTAATTACCAACATATTGTGAAAGTATTGTAAAAAATATTCTTAACTCTTCTTCATTGAATACAGATTTATTAAATCTTTGACATGAGCATCAAACAACTTCTAAAAAGACTTCAGTTTAAATTAGTTTATTTCGAGTAGACTTACAGTTGCAGTATAATTTCTTAGAAATATACTTACAGTTCGAAGAGAATTTACACCGACATCCAAATAACGTAATTCCGTGAGTCCCACGAATGTCCCCGGTGACAGTTTAACAATGTTATTTCTACTTAAGTCTAGTACTTGTAACGAGACCAGCGAGCTTAAGTGACTATTGTCGATATTCTGTAAAGAAAAACTCATTTAGTTTTGTGTTTGTAATTTTATGCCTTAATAATGCATTCGCAGGTTACTTTATACTTTATAATATTCATTTGGGTGACTTACGACTTTATTCAATTTTAAGTATATCATATAAACTTGCTTATACTAAATAAATAATAAAAATCATTTAATATACCAATAGGTTTAGGTCTTTCCCCGGCTTGACTTTTTTCTTGTTTATATAAATATATTATAAATTATATTTCCCTCCCCGCAATGGGAGTGACCCACGTCTTGCCAAGTAACACTTACTTTACTTAACTTAGGGCTAAGTAAGTAATTGTAAGTATTATCTATTATAAGTATTATAATAGATAATACTTATAAGTATTATAAGTATTATTACAAATATTATCTAAGAACCATCACCGATGAATCACAAACCCTATACAGAAAACCATATTTAAATCGATCAAACCGTTTTGAAGTTAAATGGGAACATTCGTTTACGCACACAAACAACCTTTCACCCTAAAAGCATATACCTTCTCGGTTACGTTATGAGAAAAAAGATGCTATTCTTTGCATGTCGGTCACAATTATTAGTTTATAAAAAGTGTCTTATGTCCAATGGCAAATTAGATTAGTATCCGTCTAGCTGTTCAAGAGTGACTGAGAGACAAACATCCATATAAACATATTTTTACATTTATAATATTATTATGATTATGTCATATTTTTTGAATTTTTTGGGGTAATAAAAATCACTCACCGTAATCATATTACTGGAAAGATTTAGCTGTCGCAACGCAGTGAAAGATTTCATGGCAACTGTAGGAAAATCTGTTATGAAGTTTTCCGAGAGATCTAACTTTTCCAAGTTTTCTATTCCCAGAAATACATCGCTGTTAAACTTTGATAGCCTGTTACGACCGAGATCGAGGACTTGCAAATCTCTCAAACTTACGAAGGCGCCCCCTTCTATCGTCGATATCATATTGCTGTGTAGATCTATTACTTCCAAGTTTTTTTGGGATATGAATGATGCTTGTCGAATTAAAGCTGAAAAATTCCACGTTACATTATTCTCAAATTTTAAGTATACCATGACATTTACGAATGGCTTAAATACTTCAGTGTTTTAATATTATTAAGGCATTTTATAATACTCAATTTCACATTATATTTTTCATAGCGAAAAGTAACATTTTAAAACACAATTTTAATCTGAAAATGTAATTTCGCAAAAAAAAAATTTAAATAAACTTTGGCCATTTTACAAATACCAACTACAACTTACCTATTCTGTTTTCCCGCAGCGAGAGAACTTTTAATGACTGCGGGCCGTTAAGGGACGATGATGGGACGGAAATCATATTGTTACGTTCGAGGCGTACGGTCTGAAAATGTCTTTTGCTATTAAATTATAATTATATACTTAAATTATCACGTTTGCAAATGTTCATCTGTTAATGTAGAATAAGTAGTAATCGACGTATTTGCTTACAAGATACGTATCTACCAATTTTTTTTAATAATATAGGCGTTTATTTATGAATTAATATAGTCGTGTATAATGTTTGTGTTTGAGTAGTAATTATTTAAAAATTCATTGAAAATTTGATTCGAATGAAAACATTTATTGAAGGATCTAATCAGTAGGTATTTATGACTAATGAAGATTTGAGAAGAGTTTTTCTACTACACAATTGTATGTTATTCAACAGATGGCCAGTTATTCATTCCATAAAATGCCTGGCCTATCAAAGCGATAAATGGTGGAGGTATCTGGTGCCGCAATATTCAATCAACCTAAATTGCGATGATCACAGAAATTCCTCTCAAGCAAAACCCATATCCAGCAGTGAAATAAGTCATTAATCTCATTAATAACTACTATAACCTTTTTTACCTTATTTAAACCATGCAGTTCCATGAATACTAAACAATATTATACAATAACATAGTAATATATACGAGTGTAATACACAAATATAAAAAGATTGAAATCCCAGCCAAAATCCAATATTTGCTGCTTTCTGCTTTTGGCTTTTTTTGTCTGCTTTTGTTTTGCTTTTATCAATTAATAAAAATTAACACTTAAGTAAGGCAGAGTTTCTTTGCTAACGAGTACACTTGTGACATTAGAACAGTAGTTGCAATCCTGTGCAGTTACTGACTTATGACAATAATCAAAATATCAAAAGATATCGCTGTGTTCAGTCACAAAAAGATAATTTGCTCGGATTTCAATGTTATTTAATTTTTTATTAAATTTGCATAGTTATTTACAAGTTTATTTGAATTCCTTTAATGTGTAAGGCTGAACTGACCTTAAGAACATCACAGCCAATAAGTAGGCCCTCTTCTAAACCTCGAATACTGTTTCCACTAAGATCTAATTCTTCTAACGCTGGCAAATTGTGAAATTCCGTAGTTGAGAAGATTGGATTTAAATTGTCTCCAAGTAAGTTGTCGGCCAGTGCCAGTCTTGTGATGTTCCCTCTGACTCCAGAGAGTAGACGATCAGGCAACCGTCTTAAACTATTATGCGAGAAGTCAAGTTCTTTTAGTGGAAGGCCATAGGATGAGAATATCTGAAAAGGATAAACATACATCACATCAATAATGCTATTTGGCAATATTAAAATCAGAGATACATTATATCGAACTACAAAATCTCCTTTCCTTGAGTTCAAATTGTATGTATTATTAAGAACATACACTCTTACCTAGGCATTTTATTATATTTGTCGAAGTTGACAACACGTTTTTTGGCAATCTTATTTTATTAAGGTCCCGGGTTTGAGCCCCGGGTCTGGTCAAAACCAGTTATTAGGTATTTCTGTAAGAAATTCCCAGCAAGAAGTCAGGAAGTTGGCGGTGTTTCACCCCCGTCTCGGAAAGCGCGTAAAGCTGTTGGTTCTGCGTATAATCTCTCTCCGGTCCTGTCGGATCGCCATTCCATCGGAGTATAAGAGGGAATGAATAGACAGTGCACCTATGCTTGCGCAAACACTCGGTCAATATAATCCTGTCCTGCGCAGAAACAACGGCTAGTCTTCGTTTAGACTGGCTGCCGTGGCCGAAATCGATTTGCAGGACATTATTATTATTATTGCCATCAGGTGGACAGTTAGGTCTTTTGTTCATCATCATCATCATCATTACAGCCTTTCATAAGTCCACTGCTGAACATAGGCCTCCCCCAAGGAATGCCACAAAGCACGGTCCTGAGCCACCTGCATCCATCGACTTCCTGCATGTCCTACCAGGTCGTCACTCCATCTTGTGGGGGGTCGCCCTACACTTCGCCTGCCGGTACGAGGCTGCCACTCAAAAACCTTTCTTCCTTTTTTTATAGGATAGGGTGACAAACGAGCACACAGTCCACCTGATGGTAAGTGGCTGCTGTGGCCCATCGACATCTACATTTATCCTCGTTTGCGAATCAAAATGCAGATGCGTTGTCACCCGTGAGGACTAAGATGGAATGCCTCTTTACCAGTAAAAAGGGTCTCCAGTTCTCTACATACACCATACGAAACACAGCAGTGTTAAGCTGCTATTTGACGCTGGTATTCTGTGAGAGCGTGGTCCTTCCCCGGTCGAGCCGACCATTCGTGCTACAACTATACTACTAATATAGCTGCAGCTTGGCTCTACCACGTAAAATACTTTCTTCCCCATCGGTTGTCGGTTCTTCGAGCTATATGGCCGGCCCACTGCCACTTCAGCTTACTAATCCGTTGGGCTATGTCGGTTACTCTAGTTCTACTGCGGATATCCTCATTTCTAAGTTTATCACGCAGAGAAACCCCGAGCATAGCCGTCTGCATAGCTCGCTGAGCGACCTTGAGCTTCTGAGCGACCTTAAGCTTAGTCTTATGTTACTCAAATATTATAAAGATCAAAAGGTGCGATATATTCGCGTTATCGCCCTTGCGGCGTAAGCTTTTCTGATAGTTGTGCTTATAGCATTTGTTTTAGTTTTTAATAAATAATTTATGTTATAAGTTGGATAAATATATTCAACTAGTCTTAGTTCATTATCGTACGAAATAAATGCAGCGAATATGTTATACACAAAACTATTTGTATTTTTTGTGTTAAATAATAGTAAAAGTTATCCCATGTTGATCTGGAGCTCTTAGGTACCATGTTTATGTGCGACCTATAACGTAAAATTTAATGCCTACTGTGTTACTTGCCTAGCATCTCGTAAAAGGCGATTAATTGGATGATGGGTTTGTGACTTGTTAGGCGATCGGCTAGAAACCTATCACTTCTACAAAAAATGTATAATTTGCAACATCTTAGCAACGTCCCACATTTCTCACACGTCTTTCTGAGAAACCTCTAATTTTTGAGATTGTTTTAAGGCAGGAAAGAATCCTCTTTGCTACCTCCTTGTGTTTTTCCCTCTTCCCTTTATATGTTATAGATTTTTTTAAGCAAACTTCTGACGATATTTTTCATAGTGGTCGAGCTCGGTTTGCTAGCGGACCAAAGGGTGCAAAACTGTCTTACATTGCAAAAGTTAAATTATTAATCACAATTAGAAAATATTATATCTTAAAATTAGTTTTGTTTATAACTTTTAAAGTTTTAAACTTACGCACAGCGCCCGAGGAACAACTAAGCCTTAAAGGAGCTTGGTATAATACGTTTATAGCTTACAAGCGTTTTATTTACATAATTCATAATCTTAAATCTGCACTTTTAAAATTTTAAATAAAAATTAAGTCAATTAACTTTACGTAAGAAAATGGTTTCATCCATGTCAAGACATAAGTAGTATAATGGTTGCGTTACGTAAAAAATAATACCGTCACTAAAAGCGCATACATTAATTTTTTTTTGTTCATACTTATTATAAAAAAAGGAAATAAAAATAAAGAAATAAAAAATTAAAATGAAGTACTTCAGAAGCAGATGTTTTTGAGACCATTACGAATCGTCTCGCACGCAAACGACATCTTCCAGCCTCCCGAACAAGTCGGTCTTCTAAAAGACTTTAGTACCATAGATCACACTTTTCAGCACAATGTACAATAGACAGAAGAGTACATCCTGCCATTTTATGTTGCGTATGTGGACTATGAGAAAGCCTTTGATTTCGTCGAAATTTGTGCGATGCGATTCGAGGCACCGACGAAAGGGACTACCCTTTCGTCGGTGCCAAGTCTTCTGTAGGTATATCTAAAAGCTGAAGTATTTATACAGTAGGGCCAAGATGGTTGTGCTAGTCCGGAACCAGAGTACGCAACTTATCTAAATGCAGAGAGTTGAAAGTGAAGGTGACATTATATCCCCGAAACTCTTCACCGCTGCATTGGGAGACAGCAGTTTTCAAGCTATCGAACTGGAAAGGAGACGGTATCAATATCAAAGGTGAGTTCATCACTCACCTTCGATATGCTGACGATATAGTCATTATTGCAGGATGGCAGGAGGACCTCAGCACTATGCTCAATGACCTCAATAGTATCTCTCAATGCAAAAATCTGAAAATTAACATGGATAAAACAAAGGTCATGTATAATTTACACTTCACACCTATGCCGGTACGCGTAGTTATTGGGAGTACTACGCTCGACGATGTTGACAAATTTGTTTACCTATGACAAATTGTTCGACTAGGTAAGTCTAACTTCGACCGAGAGCTGAATTGACGGATCAAACTCAGTTGGCCAACGTTTGAGAGATAAAGACACGTCTTCGTATTATGTATACGTCAAAACTTGATAACGAGATTGTACAATCAGAGTGCCTTTTTGTTATCGTTCATAACTAACATTATGGATCTGAGACGTGGTCCTTCACTGCTGGCCGCATGTGGAAGCTCAAGGTCGTTCAACGAGCTATGGAGATAGCTACGCTCGTATTTTCTCTGCATGATAGACTTCGTTACGAGAATATTCCCAGTAGCACAAGAATTACCAATATAGCCCTACGTGATCCTTAGCGCTGAAAGTAAGCTGAATTAGCTATGGGATGGCCACATAGACCTAAGAAAGGCACTCGAATGGAGTGACGAAGTGATGGAAAGTTTCAGATGCAGGTCAGGCTCAGGACCATGTTTAGTGGCAATTCGTGGAAAGGCTTTTGTTTAGCAGTGTAATTGTGATGGCCCGTGATGATAATTACCAATTTGAGGATATTTTTTTTAATTCGCGTCCGGTTGTCGTATATAAACATAAAATATGTGGCGGCGCTGTCGTGTCGAGAGGTGGACCGGGATAAGCCCTTTCGCAGAAACGACTACGGGTGTAATTTCGGTTGGCAGACCCCACCACATGTCGGTCACCTCGTGAGCTAGATCCAGATAAACTGTTCAGTTACCTGATTGGACGAGCTTCTCATCCTATGGATATCTAAGTCATACTCAACATCATGCTGGCCAAATATTTTTTCTTTTATGATTGTGTCCGGGCTATCAACACAATATCTGGATTATTCGCAAATCCTGTACTTGATAATAGCCCGGTCCCAATAGAGTCTGGCGCGGTCATTTTAAGTACGGCTTTCGGCAAATACATGTCAATTGGAAATTTCTACTTCAGCACTTCTAAAGCAGGACAGTGTTTTCTACTTCTCAATACGTAGTTATCAGATCAGGAATCGCGTCCGTAACTTGAACGTAAAAGGAAAATGGAATTTGTATTACAATTACGAGTATAACCAATACAAATTTAGAACATGGTAGAGCCATGCTGCAGCTATATTACATTTATAGCACAAATTGGTTGGCTCGACCGAGGAAGGACCACGCTCTCACAGAATATGTTTTTTTTTTTTTTATATAGAATAGGGGGCGAACGAGCTTGCGGCTCACCTGATGGTAAGTGACTACCGCCGCCCATGAACAACCGCAACACCAGGGGAATTGCAGATGCGTTGCCGGCCTTTTAGAAAGGTGTAAGCTCTTTTCTTGAAGGTTCCTAAGTCGTATCGGTTCGGAAAATTCGCTGGTGGTAATTGATTCCACAAAGAAGTTGTGCGAGGGAGAAAACTTCTTCTAAATCGCACAGTGGTGGACCGCCAATCATCCAGATGGTACGGATGGTAACGCGAGTTTTGTCGCGACGTGCGATGGTGAAATTGAGCGGCTGGAATTAGTCCGAACAATTCCTCAGAGCACTCCCCGTGATAGATGCGATAAAATACGCAAAGAGATGCAACATCTCTACGCAGTGCCAGTGTATCGAGCTGATCGGAAAGAACTCGGTCGTCGACGATTCGAATCGCTCTGCGCTGGATGCGGTCAAGTGGAAGGAGCTGGCACTGGGGTGCCCCGGCCCAGAGATGAGAACAGTATTCCATGTGGGGCCGAACTTGCGCTTTGTAAAGTTGCAAGCGATGTGCCGGCATGAAATACTGTCTCGCTCTGCTAAGCACGCCAAGCTTTTTAGAGGCCAATTTGGCCTTCCCTTCCAAGTGACCACGAAACTGCACGCTATTCGATATGTCGACGCCAAGGATTCCGATACTGGCTGAGGCAGCAAGGGGAGTGCCTTGAAACTGAGGAGATACGACAAAGGGGTTCTTTTTAGCGGTAAACGCGCAAACTTGTGTCTTCTGGGGATTGAACTGG